GCCTTCTCTTTGCCAGTGTTTTTTCTGCCCCTTTGTCTCTTAATGGGGCACTGGGTAGAGGACAGAAGAGTTAGGGTCTCCGAAGGAAACCCAGGCTGGAACTCCTGTGGAATTGGTCTTGGAATGAGGGGAGCGGTTGGGACAAGGTGTGCGGTCCTGTGCCTGCGAACACAGGGTTTTCTTTTCTAATTAGATAGACACTGCTATCCAGATGTCTGTAGATGCGAATTTTTAGTGAACATTATATAAACATTATTTGAGTAAACAAAGAGAGAAGTACGAAGAGGGAGGAAGAACCCGGTAACCTTATTTTAAGTACTCCATCCAGGAGATAGGCAGGGACTACACCCTTAGATTTTGTTTGGGGAGCCTTGTGGTGGGAGGACAAGGTTCATTTGAAGAAGAGGGGCCAGAGTAGAACCCAGGGGCAAAGCAAGAGCTCTTTGGTTATGGGGTCAGGGGCATGTGCAGTTGACCAGGAATGACTGAGCATTGACCGTGGAGCTGCATAACTAGGCCTGAGGCCTCCCTCCTCTCCCTTCTGTTCTAGGGGGCATTTTTTGGTTTGTTTTTTATTGTTTGTTGTTTTGAGCAGTCATACAACAAACAAAACAGTAGACCAGCAGAGAACTGGGGATAACCTAAGGGTTCAGGATGAATATGTCTCTTCCCTTTGTCAGGGTTATTTTGATCTCTATCCAATTTTTAACCTCCAGTTTGGAGCTGAAAACATCAAGGGGTGCCTTTGATGTCAGGATGGAGTTAGGTATGTGGTCAGTTTTGGTGTGCTACTTGCCATAGGATGTTGTTATAGTCCATGGGGCCTAGTTTTTTAGTCTTGAGAGCTAATGGAAGTGTAGGGCTGGTTTTAAAGGTTGGGGGGGGGGTCCTGATGATCATGATTTTGACTGTCCATCTTGTTATTTTGGTCTACTGAGAGAGCCTTCTGAGTGCTCTTGTCTCAAGTTTTAGATGAGATTGTTTGGGGACATAAAATTCAGTTTGGAACTTTTAGGAGGCAAAAATTACATTGAGTTGGAGGCAGAGCAGGAAGCTAGGGTCAAGTTTGAAGGCTTTTTTAGTTGACTTGTTTTGGGGGGGGGTTATATTTGAATTTTGTGGAAACTCATTTTGAGGGGGGAGGACATTCTTGTGTATGTTTAGGTATGAAACTCTTCCAGAAGACAGACTATGAGAAGCACCACCCCAGGATAATTTGGGGGTGTCCAGTTTTGGGGTGTTTTGTCACTGGTCACATTTGGTGAAATGGAGATTGATTTGGAAATTCATCTGTTTTTGAGCACATTTCTGGTTTAGGTTATCTTTTGCTGATAGCCCCCCTCTCACCCCAGATTCCAGAAAGTTCTGTTTTAGTGAACCCCCAAATAAGCAGAGGCTTTGAAGGAAGAAGCCTGGAAAAAGCAGTATGTTTCATCATAGACTTACTAGTATTTGGTTAATTGAGCTAAGGGGGAAAAGGCAGCTTCACACTCTGAACCCCGATTTCCTATGGAAGAAAAAAATCTGGAGGAAAATGGGGTGTCTCTTGTTAAACTGGGTGCTTCTGACCAATGCAGTGCTGCTAAAACTGGCAAGGAGGGGCTGTAGTGGGCTACAAGTTCTTGATTCTTGCACCCTGAGTTTTTAGTATAAAAGCCCCAAACAGAAAGCAGACAGAGGACTAGGAATGAGGGTGAACTGAGGGGGGGAGGGGTTCCT